GACAACTGTCAAAAGTGAACTCTGAATAACACCCTTTGGAAAACACGATCCTCTTTCAAAGTAAGCTTCAGTGATACTGGTCTCGTAACTGCCGTTTGAAACATATTAAATTCGTCAATTGCCATCCTCTGATACCCCCAAAAGTTATCACGTCGGCGGCATCAGTCCTCTGTGAGACATGCAGGAGTGTATTATTTATTTATTTATATCAAATGGCAGGCGTCTTGATGGTTATCATTAGCCCTCAAGTTGACTTCAGGCTTCACAGAGGGGAAGGAACATCGAATTAAAAAAGTCGAGAGGGGGTGAACAGAAGAGTGTTTCAAAGATGTAAGAGTCAAACACAAAGGTAGAACAAAGGTGAGGTGAATACTGTGTAAATGTTCGAATATGGCATAGTGAGGTGATGGTAGTTTGAAGTGAGAAGTCAACTGCCAGTCAATAGACTTTTTTGCCGTATAACTATACGTTGCCCAGAGTGCACCACGTTGAGGTAAGTCTATCGCACACCCTACACGCATGAGTGTTGTTGGGTGCATTTTCGAATAAATAATTAGGGCGTTAAAGGATTAAAACCTTATAATGCGTCAAATATTCTCGCAATAATTAATGGGTGCTTTGGTAGTTGAAATGAATCGGGGATCCAATCTCGATCTGAGTGAAAGTTAAGTAAATTAAGAAAATCTCACGCAGTGTGCAGGTGGCTTTGCCTAGCCTCCAAATGTCCCAAAACTGACCTGAACACTACAAACTTATTAAGGAGGTTAGTCCCATGGCAAAGTTTGGTCAAATTGAAAATTAAGGTGAAAAGACCAATATTTTGTTGACCTAAAGTGAAAAAGCGATTATCAGGTCACGTTAGCTTGAACTAGCTGTGAACCAAAGATATATATATATACATATATACCGCTTACAGTTCAAATTATATTATATTATATATACCGGGGTGTGCGATAGACTTACCTTCCCGTGGTGCACTCTGGGCAACGTATACTCATACGGCAAAAAAGTCTATTTATCGGCAGTTGACTTCTGACTTCAAAATACCAAGACCCCACCGCATTTCATATTCGACTAATTCCACAGTACTCGTCTTTTTCCTACCTTTGTGTCTGTCTGCCACTTTTACATCTGTGAATCATTATTCTGTCCCCCCTCTCGACTTTTTGCCACTTTGGTGTTCCTCTTCCTTTCCGTGAAGCACGAAGTCAACTTAATGGCTAATGACACCTATCATAACGCCTGCCATTTAAAATAAATAAATATATTATATATACCTATACATTATTCTACTATCCTCTAATGCAATTTTATAATCAATAATGTATTTCTGAATACGAGATTTGATCCGATTGGAGGGGCTGTATTTTATATGCCTAATTCCTTTTAGCTTTACCGTGTTTAAGAACAGCCTCATTTGAAATGCCCAACTTTTACTCTCTGCCCAACTCTCGCCTTTTGGGGGCAAAAGATCTTACTGATCGAAGAATTTGCTCCTTTAAAGAATTTTTTACTGTTTTATTTTTATTTCTCTACATAGTACGAATCCTACCCCAAAATTGTTCTTTGAAAGTCAGATGACAACCTCAAAAAGGTTACTAGTCTCCATACCCTTAATCTTCTGCACTCGTAATCGACTTACTCAGGAATTAAGTTTTCAAAGCGTACACGAGTGAGGTAGACCCGTACAAATCAAAGCAAGCAATTTAAATGAAATAATTGCTCAATAGCTTCCACTGTCCAAACACCTCTCCTCTTAAAATTGTCAAATTCAACTTTTCCTTCATCAGGTAACAGAAAATGTAAAGAAATGGCTCAAATATACGACATTTTATTTCATGAATCTCACGCCCATCAAAATTGCTGTACATATTCCAAGTTTGAGTGCAAGATAAAATAGTGTAAATAGACTTATTTAAAATCCACTTTCTTCTAGACAAATCGTCCTGACATAAGACTAGGATGTGAGGGTGGTGACTGAGTAGTTGTAGTCGACGGATTTGGAACCGCTAGGGATGAAAGAATTGAGTAGCACCAAGGTGGAAGAATGTTTGGTAAGGAGTTTGAGAGGGCCCATCCCAATGCGGAGGAATCTTGAGCAGGATTAACGGATTGCTGTTGATGAGGTGCTAGCATGATTGGCTCTTGGTTGGAAGGAAATCTTCCCTCATGCCTGAAATTTGCTCCACAACGTCTCATGTGTTTCTCCAATGTCGAAGGAACAATAAATGGCGTCTGGCAGTACCGACACCGATGACTAGGTCGACCATCTTTTTCATGCGTCTTCATGTGTCGTGTCAACTTTGAAGATTGAGCGCATGCATAGCTGCATAGTTCACACTTATATGGTTTCTCCCCTGTATGACTTCGCCGATGAACCGTGAGGTTAGAGCAGTTTTTAAACACTTTTCCACAAAATTCGCAAGTATCGTTGCGTCTTTCCCTCTCACGTCTCGGAAGTGGTTGTGGAACTTGAAATGCTCGCCTATGAGACATTTCAACACGTTTCCGCTTTTTCCCGATTTCGACATTGTTCTGTGAGTTTAAAAAATTGTAGTTTATGTATGCTGGACCTTGGCAGTGATTGTTTTGAAAGTAAGGAGCAGGTGTATGAGACTGATCGGATTGCGGATCATCAATAAGAGATGTGGAACCTAATTTCAATTCTCCATGAGGTGGTGCGGATTTAGGCTTGGGAGATGGCTTGGTTTCCTCAGTTGTTGGAGTAGAACTTGAAGAGGGCGGGGATTCATTGCTTTCATCACTACTGGTTGTATCCAAAAGATCTCGGACTGTTAGGAAAGAGCTCTTGCGAGTCGTTCGCCTCATTTGGCCGTGTTGTCTAAAAGTTGAGAGAAGAAGGGGCTAATCGTGACCACACACACACAGGAAGAAACATGAACTTGTAAGGTCCTTCGGTTACAGTTGGGTACGTGTGTGACCACCCACACGTCCTACTTGTCAATTAATATTTTATGAGACTTGCCACTTGCAGCCCTACCTACATGCGTTGTTTATGACGCTTTGGGTTAAGTCAACTCCACGTGTCCTCTTGGGCTAAAGGGTTAGTTTTTAATACCACGGTACTTTCAAGAGACGCAATCTCGTAACATGAATTTATTTTCAATTTACCAATATGTTATGTTATGTAATAGATGGTAAATTAAGTTAATTAATAAAATACTAATACTAAGCTTTCTTTTTCCCATGTGCTCAGCGTTTCGGCTCATGAAGTGTAATAATGGCGTATCGGATCTATTTGTGGCAAGAATTATTGCTCTGAATGCAAACAGACTGAAAGGTTAAGGAAGTCTAACATCTAGAAGGACAGTTTAATAAGGCTTTGAAAGTCGCCAGATTCGTTCAAAGTTAGAAGAGAGACTCAATTAGGTAGTGCCTAATTTATTGATTGAAATGCAACATCGTATTGACACCTCTCCACCTTTCCATTTATGAGCAAATCTCGTTGCAAATCACAAAAAAGTGAGATATAAACTGTACAGTTATATTTTAGAAATAGGATAGCAGTGTATACATATTTAGACCATTTTGACTAAAACTATCCACACTTTGCAGTTGGAGTTGTACGATGTGGGGTGTGAGTGAATAAGCAGGAAAAGAGAAACCGATTCGGTTCAACGTTATCTACTGAGAACTCTCTGGTTAAGATATGCAGAGGAGGGAAGTGACGACAACAACTGTTGACAACTAATCAGGATCAAACAATTCGATTATTCACACCTCAATGACCATCACAACAGCTTATAACTACAAATTCTCACCATTGTAGTATTAAATAGTTGAACTCATAGTGCAACTAGTAGGCAACATTGTGAGGTATTTGAAGATGACTTAAACCGTTAGACGAAAGTGTCTTCTGAATGGGCAAAGAGAATTGATCATAGACGACTCTCCACGCACACAATCTAAGGATGAACAATGTTATGTACCAAATCAAACTCTTCACCAAATTAGCCCGACTTCAGTTCACTGATGAATCACTAAGCATTCTTCATCGCATTTACCTGTGAATCAAATTTAATTAATGAATGAATTAATTACATCCTTTAACTACATATGTCCTCGGTAGTTGANTACCCAGTAGTCGACTCCAGCTGAGCGAGTGGTGGTGACGGCTATAGGGTTTTCGCTAGGCTTACCTCCATGTGGTCCACCCTGGGTAACGTATACTCATACGGCAAAAAAGTCTATCAACTGACAGTTGACCTCTGACTTCAAACTACCATGACCCCACTGAATGTCATATTTGACCCCTTCCACAGTACTCATCTAGTCTTTTCTCTGCCTTTGTGTCTCTCTGTCTCTTTTACATCTGTGAATCGCACTCCTTTTCCCTTGTCTAATTTTTCTCTCTTTAATGTTCCTCCCTTCTGTGAAGCCCGAAGTCAACCAAAGGGCTAATGATAACTATCAAAATGCCTGCCATTTGAAATAAATAAATTGTTTCAATTAAGGGAAAGAAATTATGAATTAGGCAAACGAAAACCATGATAACTTGATGTCAATTGAAATCATAACTAAGATCTTCCCGAAATTGGGACAGACATTACTTTAAAAAATTTATTTATTTTGTTACTTCACCATTTTAAATGCTTTGGAAGAGCCACTCTGATGGTAGGAGCTATGATGGCAATGCAGAATCTGGCCAGTGTGCATCGAGCAAGATAGGGATAATTGTCCTAGCCCTGTCATGCTCAGTGGGTGGATTTCAACTCCCTCTCCCCCCCCCCCTCTCAGCCACTTCCTACCCACATTGAAAGGTGGCGAAGTGGGGATGGGGAGTGATGAGAGGGTGTGAGGTTGAGGTGGAGGTTGAGATGGAGGTGGAGGTGGAGGGAAGAGAGGTATGAGAGGACATCTCTTGAACATTTAGAGGTGTAAAGTATGAGAGATGCTATCAGTCATTGAGTGGGTATGTACGTGGACTAAATGCGGCTCTGAGGAGAGGTGGGAGGGCATTGCAGTGGAAAGACCAATCGATGACTTCTGACTTGACGTGGCTCTTTTGGTAATTGCATACTAAGCAATAATAAGTGAAAAATTTCTTTAAACTAACATCGAAAATGACATACCTTTGAGATTAAATTATGTTCACTTGTGGGCAGTTCTTGCTAAATTTAAATACAATGCTCACAGAACAGGAAAATTTACATTCAGAGCGAAAGAATCTTTACAAACCGTATGGGAGAAAAGCTGCCATTTTATCTCCAAGTACAAAAGTGATGTGGTCACGAAGTGAACTGTCACCTCCATCTGAAACTGACAGACAGTCCAGTTCGACTACATTTCTTTCTTCATTACCTCTTCCACCTTATAAATTAAAAATCGAATAGACACCTCCATCGACTCGGTGATTACAAATTAAAACTTTTGCAAAGTGTTTAGTGGTTGGAAACTAGAACTCTTTCAAGTGGACAGATTGGATCAAATGGTCAGAATAAAGGTTTTTCTAATTTGACACTCATTAGCCCCAAAATGCTCCTTGAAAACTATACATACTTTGTTGTTGCAGTTGGAGTTGCACGTTGTGGAGTTTAAGTGAATAAGCAGGTAAGGAAAAAAACAGAATTTGGTTCAACATTATCTACTGAGAACTCTCTGGTTAAGATATGCAGAGGAGGGAAGTGACGACAACAACTGTTGACAACTATTCAGGATCAAACAATTCGATTATTCACACCTCAATGGCCATCACAACAGCTTATAACTACAAATTCTCACCATTGTAGTATTAAATAGTTGAACTCATAGTGCAACTAGTAGGCAACATTGTGAGGTATTTGAAGATGACTTAAACCGTTAGACGAAAGTGTCTCCTGAATGGGCAAAGAGAATTGATCATAGACGACTCTCCACGCACACAATCTAAGGATGAACAATGTTATGTACCAAAGCAAACTCTTCACCAAATTAGCCCGACTTCAGTTCACTGATGAATCACTAAGCATTCTTCATCGCATTTACCTGTGAATCAAATTTAATTAATTAATGAATTAATTACATCCTTTAACTACATATGTCCTCGGTAGTTGAAACGTGTATAAGTGCGATTTCACAACGGGTGTTGCTACAAGCGAATGTGATGAACGGAATGTTTCACTCTTCTCCAATTGCGCAGTTAAAGACCTGTAGCTGTCGTCAGGCTGAAAGAGAAACGGAGGAATGGTCGAATTAGGTGGGGGTGGTGTGGTGTGGTGAGGGGCGTGGCGTGGCGTGGCGAAGAGGACGTTGTGTGCATTTCCATGCGCCATTATGACCTGATTTTGCGGTCACCAGAACACTGTGAGTGCTCACATGGTCACTTGTAGGCTGCGCAGTTGTTTGAGTTGAAATGGTGAGGCAGTAATTGAAACGACTTGTGAGTATGGGGTCAGTGGAGAATGTGGGAGAGGATCGACTGTGAAATTGGCTCCGGGACACGTGGATTGATCGAGTAGTTGAATGGGTGACAATTTTTAATTATTTTATCCAATTTGCATACAGTCTTATTTGAACTAATTAGAGTGCCAATGACAATCGGTGTCAAAAAGATGTTTTCAGTTAATAAACTGTTAATGACCATGAAACCTAACCACATGTAGAAAAGTACATTTGGNAGAACCGCTGGAAGACAATTTTGTAAAAGCGTACATCTAGTGAAAGTTATCAAAACTGATTGTAGGTTTAAGAGATATGCAACACAAAGGGTGATCTACTTTGAAGCTACTGCAGATGGAAGTAAAATAAATCCAGTGTGGTAATTCAAATGTACCAACTCGACAACTGGCTTTATTGATTTCAATTCGGTCAAATTCTAGTGCACTCATCTCTAGTTGTCAAATTTAAATAGTTTGGACTAAAGTCATTACCTCACTGATCATGTCACGCTTCTTGCTCCAACTACTGAATTTTAGGGAAATCGAGTGGAATGGAATAGACGACTTACTCGACTAACTTTTTGGCAGAAAAGGTATCCAGAGATGTCATGTTGGGAATTGATTTCACAGCTCTACAAGGAAATGGAAGGTGATTAGGAGAGCATATAGAGGTCGACTGAGGGGAAATAATACAAAATCGAATAAAGTGAATCGCATAAACACGAATGCAATCTGATTGATAAATTGAAGGGAAGGGGGATTTGGGTGGGGGAGGGGGTGGATGTTAGGGTATTAGCTAATGGAGGTATGTTGATGTAAAGTACAGCGAAATGATACGGTTGAGTGCTTTGGGCTCCCCTCATATCATGATCGTGGATAACTAACATCTGTCCATGATCAACACGATGGCATTTGGTCACGCGACAAAATTGGAGCCAAATTCATCCCCTTACATAAGCCCACGAGACCTCACAATTGCAGCATTAGTGGTTTAAATTAAATGCTGAAATGTGGAGGAACACACAAAGTGAAATGCAGTGAATTGAAAAGAAGGGTCACTGGAGTAGAAAATATACTGGACAATTTTTATGTCAACGAGATGGGAAATCAACTTTCCCTTTCATGCAATGCAGGTGATGAAGTAGTTGGCCCATTTAAAGATGTTGGGCCATAAAACACGCTTCCATCTGCTCTATCAACTGATTAAGCTGCATTTAACTGGTTGACCTGGGGTTATCTGGCCAATATTTGGTCAGATATGGAGTCACTACTCGGTCGTCGTGAAATTAGGAGCATAAAAGTGAACATCTTTACCACCTTCCCTGGCGTTGCAAATGGAACGCGCTCATTTCAATGCCAACTTTCCGGACGCCATTGAAAGCAGGTGGTGCTCACCCCTCCCTCCCCTCCCTCCCCTCCCATGCTTCTGTAAAACATCATGTTAGGCTTTAA